CCGCCCCTCGGGGGGGTCTGGAGAGACAGGCTCCGCCCCCACCTGGCGGGGCTGCGGGCCGCTGCTCCCCGGAGGGACGCCTCTCACCCCAGGGTCAAGTCACTAGGAGCTCAGCAAGGTTTTCTCATAAGAACGTGGCCCTTATAGGAAAAGAGTGCAGTTATTTACAGCTTTATCTATTTTAAAATATTAATATATTTTGATTGATTTCAGAGAGAGAGACAATTGATGAGAGAGAATCATTGATGGGCTGCCTCCTGCACGCCCCCCACTGGGGATGGAGCCCACAACCGGGGCATGTGCCCTGACCGGGAATCCAACCGTGACCTCCTGGTTCACAGGTTGACGCTCAACTACTCAGCCACGCAGGCCCGGCTTTATCTTCTTTTTATACAACAAACCTGAACAATTGTGAGTTACCGTGAAAGCTCATAAATCCTTGCATGAGCTGTAACTTAGGAAACACCCCACTTTGCAGTGGAAGAAACTAAGGCTCAGGGAGGAGGTTCAGGATCTTGCCCACAAAGCCACAAAGCTGGCCAGTGGCTGAGCTGGGATCAACTTCTCATGGTGTGACATTCAAAGCCAGTGGTTGCTTTTATTTTTTAAATCCTCACCTGAGGGTATGTTTATTGATTTTAGAGAGAGCAAGGGAGAGAGAGAAAGAGAGAGAAAGAGAAACATCCACCTCTATGTGCCCGGATCGGGATCAAACCCACAACCTTTTAGTGTATAGGACGAGGCTCCAACCAACCGAGCCACCTGGCCAGGGCAAAGCCAGTGCTCTTATCCTGCACTATTGTGCGCCTTGTGCACCGTGCCAGGTTCTGGGGTTCCAGAAATCAATCAGAACCCCCTCCCGGAGTTCACAGGCGGGTGAGGAGAGGGACTTGCCAAGGGCCACTCAATGGCAGTGGAAGGTCCAGTGGACAGTAGTGTGGGACTTTCCACCCCAGCCGGCCCTGAGCTGAGCCTTGAAAGAGGAGTAGGGATTAGCCAGGATAATGAGAAGATGAACCTGGAGTACCTAATGCTTGCCACAGATTCTAACATGTGTTGATTACAGCGTGCCACAACCTTGGAACAAGGAGTAAACCAATTCTCAGAGGTCAAGGAGCTTGATAAAGCTGGTGGGCAGAGGCAAGGAGGAAAGCAGATCTATAAACCAAATCCAGCGTTGCCCTGCAAGTCACACTTCCGCCCCTCACCTCACTTCCTGATTTCTTTCTTCATTAACTAGAATGGATTCTTGCGTTAAATGGGAAGTTGGACCGACAATCTTTCACTCTGTACCAACTCTTCAGACACGATGCCAAGCCTTTATCTGCTCCCCCAAAACTCAGCCTCGGTAGTCATTCTATTATCCTTGAGTTCCAGTCCGAGCACCTCCTTCTCCAAGACCTTTTTCATTCTGTTAGCGCATCTTTTGTGGCATTGTACTTGTTTGTGTGTGTATCTTCTTTTTATTAAAAATATATTTGTATTGATTTCAGAGAGGAAGAGAGATAGAAACATCAATGGGCCACCTTCTGCATGCCCCCTACTAGGGAGGGATCAAGCCCACAACCCCGGGCATGTGCCCTTTACCAGAGTCAAACCCAGTACCCTTCGGTCCATAGGCTGGCAACCTATCCACTGAGCCAAACCAGCTATCGCTGTATGTGTATCTTAACCAGCCCGCTAAAAGAGGGCAAACTCCTTGAGAACAGGCACTGTTTAGCTAATCTCTGCTCTTAAGGGACACTTTATACAGAGAATGCGCTCAATAAACACTTGTACAAATGAATTGAATAGTGAAGAAGGGGTGAGATCAGCCAAAATTAAATTAGAGGAAAAAGTTTGCTCCTACTTCCCATTTCCTTTCTTAAAATTTACTCAATTTTTTATTAAGTTATTTTTAATTGAATTTATTGGGGGTGACATTGGTTAATAAAATTATATAGTTTCAGGTATACAATTATTGTACAATTCTATAACACATCAACTGTATATTGTGTGTTCACCGCCCCAATTAAATCTCTAAATTTATTTTTAATTGTGGTAAAATATATGTAACATAAAATTTACTGTCTTAACCATTTTTAAAAAAATATATTTTATTGATTTTTTTACAGAGAGGAAGGGAGAGGGGCAGAGAGTCAGAAACATCTATGAGAGAGAAACATTGATCAGCTGCCACCTGCACACCCCCTACTGGGCATGTGCCCACAACCACGGTACATGCCCTTGACCAGAATGGAACCTGGGACCTTTCAGTCTGCAGGCCAACGCTCTATCCACTGAGCCAAACCGGTTAGGGCTTAACCATTTTTAAGTGTACAGTTCAGTAGTGTTAAGTATATCCACATTGTTGTGCAGACAATCTCCAGAACGTTTCATACCCATTAAACAACTCCTCATTCCCCCTCCCCAAGCCCTGGGAACCACTATTCTAATTTTTGTTTCTATAAGTTTGACTCCTCTAGATATCTGATATAAGTAGAATCATACAGCATTTGTTTAATACACATCTGGCTTAATACACTTAGCATAAGGTCCTGAAGTTGCATCCATTTGTAGCACAGGTCACAATGATGAGGAAGATTCCACTGTTATGTATAGGCCATACTTTGTTTCTCCACTCACCTGTCAATGGATGTTTGTGTTGCTTTCACTTTTTGACTATTTCGAATTTTTTCCTGTTTCTTAAATCAATGCAATTTTTTTTTTAAGTTGATCTCGTTAAGTCTAACTTTGTCTTCCTTTTTGGCAGCCTTTTTGAGAAGCAGATGTCGAGGAGCACAGGGAAGTGACTGTCAGACACCAGTTCTGCCCGTTTTATCCTCTGTGAAATGAGGAAAATTCTTAATCTCGGCATTATATGTGTGATCTAGTATTGGCCAATAGCTCCCTCTACCAGTGAATCTGTCAAAAACACTTTATCACACTGTCCAAAGGCAAACTAGGGAAAGCCAGCTAGGAATTAGTGATCCACCGAATGCAGAAATATCATCTGCCTTCAAGGCGTTTAAAGTCACCTTCAGAAAATAAGCCAGACTCTGGGCGGTGTGCACCAGGGACCCCGGGCAGCCCCTGGGACTCTCCCAGTGCCTCAAGGGCCTCTCTTCCCAACCATCAATCTGTGATGCAGAATTTCCTTCCTGTTCTTCGCCCAAAACATCTTTTGGCAGATTGAACGCAGAAGCACTATAGGAGTCCACTGGTCAGACATCAAGGAATTCTGCAACAATGTTAACACCGTGTCACTCTTCTCGCCACTTTCTTTTCATTTTATTTTGGAAAAGATAGTTATTTCATATAAAAATGTTAGTTCTGTTAACATGCTTTGGGTTTATTACATTTAAAAATTATTTTTAAATGGATTTAAAGGTCAAGATTTTGTTTTACTTTCTAATGTGGTAAATCATGTGATTGATGGAACCCATATAAATGTGGAAATAGGTGTTGAGACCCAAAAGTGTGAGAACCACTCGTAGAGGAAAAGCCTCCGAGGCAGCCACCGTGGAATAAAGTAAATAAAGGAGCTGCTGGAAAGGCTATAGGGTGACCCCCGAGGAGCCCCTTCCCCAAGCCCAGCCCCGTAAATCAAACCTGGCCCGCGGAGTCACAAGGCCACGGAGTCACCTGGCTCCTCCTAGGCCAGTGATGGCGAACCTTTTGAGCTCGGCGTGTCAGCATTTTGAAAAACCCTAACTTAACTCTGGTGCCGTGTCACATACAGAAATTTTTTGATATTTGCAACCATAGTAAAACAAAGACTTATATTTTTGATATTTATTTTATATATTTAAATGCCATTTAACAAAGAAAAATCAACCAAAAAAAATGAATTCGCGTGTCATCTCTGACACGCGTGTCATAGGTTCGCCATCACCGCCCTAAGCTGACCTGGAGGCCCGAAGTTACGGGAGAAGCTGAATGCCCAGCACGCTTCACTTCTCATTTGCTCAGCACATATGAATGGAGCACGTGCTGTGGGCAGCCACCAATGATTACAGCATCTACCATGTGAGTGACACCCACGTGCCACTGACCTAGGTGCTTTGAATGACCTGCCTCATTCAGTGCTCACAACACCCAACACTGAGATTATTAAGTCCATTTTACATAGTAAGGGAAAGAGACTCATATTGTAACTTGCCCAAAGGGTGGTTGTTTTAAGGGGCAGGACTGGGATCTGAATGTGAGCCTTCATAGCTCCTGTTCTTCCCACTCAGCCATGCTGCCTCTCCCAGTTCAAACAGT